GCCATCGAAGCCCTTTGGGAGTAAAGTCTCAAAAGTTGGACGTGGAGCTACTGGATTTGGTGTTTGCCCTGCTGGTTTTTGGTCTTGTTTTGATCTGGTATTTTCTTACTATGCCTCCATTCCTTCATTTTGGAATAGTAATGTGTATTCAGTTCCACCGTATGTTGGGAGTATGTAATTTGTCTTTTGATTTTATAGAGGCTTACAGTTAAGATATTTACCTGAGTCCACTTTGGACTGTGGACTTTTGAATAGTATTGAGACTGATAATGACTATGGAGACTTTTAAAGTTGGACTAAATGCATTTTGCACTTTATATGGTCATGAGCCTATGGGGGTCAGGGAGTGGAATGTGGTGATTTGAATGAAGGTGTCCCCCATAGGCTCCAAGTATTTGGACATTTTGTCCCCAGATGGTGGCATTGTTTTGGGAGTCTTAGAAGGTGTGACTATCCTGGAGGAAGCATGTCACTGGGGGTGGGCTTAGAAAGTTCTTAAGCCTTGCCAGATTGCCAGTTGCTCTCTTGCTTCCTGTGCCTGTATGATGGTGTGAGAGCTTAGCTTCTGATGCTCCTGCTCCAGCCACCTCCAGCCACCATGCATCCCTGCCATGATGGGCTGTAATTCCCCTGGAACCATAAGCTCAAATAAACTCTTCCTCTATAAATTTCTTGGGTCAGTGTTTCTATCACAGCAACAAAAACGTAACTAATACAGGGAGATTGGTATATAATTCTATTTTTGTTGTTGTTGTTGTTTGTCTTGATCTAGTTTGGGTATCAGGGCAATATTGGCTTCACAAAAACATTTGGAAATATTCTTTTTCTATTTTATAGAATAATTTGAGAAGTATTGGTGTTAGTTCTTCTTTAAAGGTCTGGTAGAATTCTGCCCTGAATTATTCTGGCCCAAGGCACGTTTTAGTTGGAAGACATTTAGCTATTCCTTTCAACTTATTGCTCATTATAGACATGCTTAAATTATTTACTTCATCTTGGTTTAGCTTTGGTATATCATAATAATCTAGAAATGAATCCATTTATTTTCAATTTTCAGTCTAGTGGAATATAAATTTTTGAAGTCTGTCCTTAATGATTCTCTGAATTTCCTCAAAGTCTGTTGTAATGTCTCCCTTTTCATCTCTGATTTTATTAATTTGGACCTTCTTCCTTTCTTTTGGTTATTTTGACTAAGGGGTTTTCAATCTTATTTATCTTTTCAAAGAACCAACATTTTATTTCATTGATTTTCTGTATTGGTTTTTGTTTCTTTTTCATCAATTAATGCCCTGATATTTATTTCTCCATATCTATTGCTTTGGGGATTTGCTTGTTCTTGTTTTTCAATACATTAAGTACTTGATCATGCACCTTAATGTATTGAAAAACAAGAATGCAAGATCAGGTTATTTAAGATCTAATTTTTTTAAATGTAAGCATTTAGAGGTATGAACTTTCCTTAGGAATGCCTTCATTATATCCCATAGATTTTTATATGTGCTTTCATTTTCATTAAATTCTAGGATTTAAAATTTTTTATTTCCCTGATGACACATTCATCATTCAATAGTTTGTTTAATCTCCATGAATTTGTATATTTTATGTGGTTTGTCTTGTTGATTTCTAGCTTTATCCCATTGTGGTTAGAAAGAATATAGGACATTACTTCAATTTCCCTATAATTGTTGAGACTTGTTTTGTGTCCTAATATGTGAACTATTTTAAAGAAGATTCCATGCACATCTAAGAATGTGTATTCTTTGGTATTGGGGCAGAATGTTCTGTAGATGTCTGTTAAATCCATTTTCTCTATGATATCATTTGATTCCAATGTTTCTTTACACATTTTTGTCCAGTTATTCTGATTGACAGTGGAGTACTTAAGTCACCCACTATTACTGTGTTGAGATTAATCTATGACTTTAAATCTAATAGCATTTGTTTTGTGAAATTGG